TCTCTCTCTCTCTCTCTCTCTCTGTGTGTGTGTGTGTGTGTGTATGTGTGTGTGTGTGTGTGTGTCCTTGTTCGTGTATGTGTATTTTGCAAAGATCCCCTAATTCTCACCGCATTCCAACCACAAACCATCCCTAAAACAAAAAAAAAGGTATAGAGATTGGCAACAGATGAGAAGATGCGAGGTCGCCCACGTTTGTGTGGTTGAGCGGCTAGTGCCCACACACCCGTCTGCCGCAGGAGCGACACACGTGAATAAATATATTATACTCTGTAGGAGTCAAGGGCATAAGGCCAAGCACTGGCACTAATACTATTCATCTCAAACGACTCACTCATGTCACCCTCGTCTCCATCACTCCATGGCTAGACAACCTCCCTTTCACTTTGCTGTCTGGCCCCCAGAGTGTATAGACCCCAATACAAAAATTGGTTACACAGCAACACAAAAGGCCCTCTGTGTCGGCCCATGTCCATGTGCCATGTTCACAAAGTCAAGCCATAAGGCCGCGGCAGACAGTGGTGGAAGGCAGCAAGAGGTACAGATACCTCGCTCGAAAATGCCATCGCGTCACCGATACGTACAGATACCCAAACAACTCACAAAAGCCTTTTTACTCATCTCATGACATTCTACCCATGTAAAAGGCCTCCATGAGTGACAGCCAGGAAGTCCAGCTGCAAGTAGGGGCAGGTTAATGGTAGCCATGAGGTGAGACCGGCTATGATGGCAGTGCACAAACGATGGCAACCAGCAATCCAGCCAGTCCAAAGACAAACAAAAACCACCTCTCAGATGTGACACTGCAAGCAGTACCGAATTGCAATTGCAACCGTAAGGACTCTTACTCTTACTTTCCCAACTAAAATTAGAGCAGCTGAGTTCCCATACGTTTGCTCCCGCTTAGATTTTGTGGACCCCACCCACGACCAATACCACACCCAACCAAGGTATCCCTCACTCGCTGCGCACGAGTACATACGTGTGGAGGGGAACATACCACGCATCATCAGCAGGGTACGCGTCTGTATCGCAGATGGCTGGCTGAGAACCGTCCTGTTTCTTCTGCTTATGGCATTCATTAGTTGTTGGCTTCTGCCAGATCGCAAAGTCCCCCTCCAGTTTGTACAGCGTAAAGCACAAACTCTTCATCGTATCCTTTAGCTTCTCAAGATCCTGTCGTTGTTCTTCCTCCGTGGTTTCCCACCCTCTCCACCTTTGTTGGTAATTCACAGGAGGCCCAGAAAGGACCCAGAATCCTCCAGGCCGAAGGATGCGCGCAATCTCCGTCAAATACAGCCCACCTACACATTCAGCCACATAYGATCCAGGAAATAACGCRGSTGGTWTAGTTACCCCAATGCCATGAACTTCCATAGCGAAGGCCCTGMACGACRCAACTGAGAATGCMGTATATAGAACACGAAATGRCTGCAAACAGTCCCCATGAATACGCAAATCACAGCGGAATTCGCATGCAAATAATACTAACACACCAGCCTACACAAAAATTCATGGAAAATGAACAGCTTTGTGATCGACAGACACAACCAGAATTCACCACGATTCTCTACTCGGTTCTCTTTCCTTCGCATGACAGCAGCCAGCCAAAACGAAAACAAGCAAAAACGCTGCGCTGGCGTTCTGGCACATCGTGGGGCGCAAGGGGAATCCACCTCGTACAAACGAGGCTCGGATGTGCTGCTAGTTTAAGATACCGTCTAGTTCATCCTGATTTGAACTGAGGGCATTGTTTCAACGGTTCATGGGTATACCAACTGAGTTAGGCCCTGCTCCACTAGATTCCACACACAGAAACAAAACACAAGAAAAAAAGTAGACAAAAACGGAATCAAAACGAACAGGCAGGCCACCATGGTAAGGCCTACCTGCCTGTCCATTTGTCATACACTACCACTTCATATTCGCCAACTCACTGTACCGGTAAAAAACACCCTGTATAGGAAGGTGACGAGGGGGCATGCCAAGAATTTCAATGACGAATCGGCCATGAGCTCTGGGCACCTGGTCGACTAATTCTCATCCTACAGCCTACACAAAAATTCATGGTCAATGAGCAGCTTTGTAATATCGACAGACACAGAACCAGAGTTCACCCCGACTCTGACTCTCTCCTCTGTTTGCTTTCCTTCGAATGACAGCCGCCTCAAGGTCACAAAGGGGCATGCCGAGCATTTCAATGATAAATCCACCATGAAGTCTGGAGACCTGGCGCCAATAATTATGTTCCTGCGCGAGAGCAAATAGACAGCGACAGTACTGCGTGATGAGATGCAGGAACGAGGATGATCACCGCATTTTCTACACATGCTAGACAAGAATGAACGGAGAACACCCACCATTGGCTGACCACGGGATAAGGCATCTGCTGCAGTGTGCCATATCGAAAGCTCTGCTCGGGTATGGCAGCCTTTGAGTGGCTATTACGCCGAGCATAGCTGGAATACCCCGCTCAAGAGCAAACTGGATCTGTGCCTCATGGTTATCTTTTGGTGCAAAAGACAAAGGAAGCACACCCCTGTGCAGCAAATCCCCACCCCAGCTGGCGACCTGCAAGCAGCGAAAAAAACATTCAGGCGAATCCGAGAAGGTCATCAGGGTCGTCAACGGTTGGCAAACAATCAATAATCGATCACAAAGAAGGATCGCAAAAGCTGAGAGAATTTGTCAGTCCCACGTGACGAGAGGGTGATACACAGAGAGAGAGTGAGAAATACGGCTCGAGGAGCAGCCAGGGAGGGAGAGAAGCTTAGGCCTATGTGTGTGTGTGAGAGAGAGGGAGAGAGACAGAGGGCTGTTGTTCGGGGGGGGGGAACGACCAAAGCTTAGCTGTCTACAAAATAGTCCACTGCAGTTCGACAAAATACAAGCACAATATCGTGCAGGACTTCTTTTTCCCCATTTTAAACCAAACCATTTCTTTTCATTCTGGTGCAGGAATTTTAGGTAGAACGGTAGAACCACATGAAGTACAAATGATTTTTTGACGAAAGAAGGAAAAGATACAATCAATGGACAAGGGGAAATCAAAGCACAGCACTCCGTAGATGGGGATTCATCCCAAAGTACACATCTTCTAGTTCGCGAACGGACAAAATACACACTTGAAACCTGTGTAGCATGGCATTCGTGTTCACATGCGCCCTCTCTCTCTCTCTCTCTCTCTCTCTCNTCTCTCTCTCTCTCTCTCTCTCTCTCTCTCTCTCTCTCTCTCTCTCTCTCTCTCTCTCTCTCTCTCTCTGTGTCTGTCTGTGTGTGTGTGTGTGTCTCTATCTCAAAGCCCACCCCGCCCAGCGCACCACGTTGTTCGCCTCCTAGGCGCCCCCCCCGACCCCTCCACACCTGCCCCTCCCCCACCCACATACGAACATGTTCGCCCCCTGTTCGGGCGAACAGGCGTGTTCGCACATTCGTAAAGCCGGCTAACAACATGTTCGCCATGCTACGCAGCTTGAAACTCCGACATTTTGCCGGAGTAGCAACCTGTATACTACCAGAAAAAGGGAAAAACAGGGTGGCCAGGAGTGCGATGGGGAAAGCAGGTTTTCTACTTGCTTACCCCACAACCAGTATCCAGAGCAGTTCTGATCGTGCCATCCTTCAGAGGAGGCAAGACCTCCTGCAAGTTGTCCACATATACTCCAACACCATGCGGAAACATGGTCCCACCTCCTGGGAAGATAAACTTGTCATCCTTCCTTTCTACCCAATGCTGGTTTGACTTCTGCTTGTCGATCCAGTCATAGGGAACGTTGCTGCTTTGCAGAAAATCGGAGCATCAACAAGAAGCAGCCACGACCACAACGCACGGAATTAGCGGATTGACCATGTTGCATTACACCTGAGGTAAACACCAAATTGCCCCTGGTCAAGGCCACAAACACCTAAACGTTTAAAAATGGTTGATATCAGGAGAACGAAGGGACAGACATCACAGCCTCGTTCACCTTTATACGCAACCGAGGGCCGATCGCACATCATCAACCAAAGTGCAAACATTACGAGTTTCAGCAAGCCAGCAAACTCCCTTCATCCTCCGTCCTTGCCGTTTTTGTTATCTACCCCCTTCTTGAGCGCCCGTGTCACCACCGAAACCAGGACAACCAGCCCTTTTATAACATTGATTGAACATTGCCTGGTTAGCCACAGTCGACAACCTACACATACGCTACCACGCACACACACACGCACACACACACACACTGAAACACACCCTTTCTGGAAGGCGGCACTACCTCACCGCAGCGTGTCAGGAGATGCCATGAATGCATAGATTCATGTGCTCAGCTGGTTTACTTTGACACCGGCATCACAACCGTGCAGTCTTCTGTTCCCCCATCCAACCTATTTGCCTACGGTAAAGGATTAAAAAAAAAACAAAAAAGACATCTACCAATTCACCCCCCAATCCATCCATTCAGTCGTCCACTCATCCACCTCGCTTCCACTCACTTGATGTCCCACCCACCTGCACTATGCATCCGTCAATCCACCCAAGCACACATCCATCCCCCACAGCTACACCTCCTAGATCAAGCAGTCGTTTCGAAGACACAGTGAAAAACAAAAAGGATAACGAGGCAGTGGAGGAGTAGCCGCCTGATGGAAGAACGGCGAGGCTACAGGCAAACGCTTACTAACCTGTACCAGGTCGTGTTAAGGCTCTCTGGCCATCTGATTGGGTCCTTGTAATCCGGGGGGGGGGGCACTAAACACTGCAATCGGTCCTGCTTGGGGGGGCAATGCCTCTCCCTCGCCGCATATCCCTTAGTATTTCCAGCATGCTTTGACCATCTCTGTGGACAGGAAGCGCCCACCACCGCACCCAACAGTATGCCACATGACAACACAACACAAGGTATGGAAAACAATCACCACCGTCCGCGTAAGAGACCTGCATAACTAGAAAAACGAAGATAATCACCACCATCCGAGTAAAAGAACCCAGTATAACAAGTACATTACAGTGAGACTCACGACTTCCCATCATCAGCAAGCAATCAAACAAGACAGTCAAGTAAGACACCTTGCCCGCACAAGGCTCTCACAGGTTTCGGAATTCCACTGCAGCCGTCAGTGCACCTGAACACCTTCCGGATCCTATTGCCTATCATGCACCTGGCCATCTCGCCATTTAGGTTCATTCCCGCATACTAGGCTGCAGTAGACAATTTTACAACTTCAAAGAGACGGGTCCAGTCAATTCATCCACAAAATACATGACAATCGATATCCAATGATAGACTCCTCGAAAGAGAGAGAGGGAGGGAGAGGGAGGGAGAGGGAGGGAGAGGGAGGGAGAGGGAGGGAGGACAGACGGGCAGAGAGACATAAACACAGACAAAAACACAGACAGAGACAGAGACAGAGACAAAAGGATAATGTTCGCATCATTGTTTGACAAAAAACAGTAGATAATGTTTGCATTTCGTTGCGTCGTGTAAAGGGGAGGAAGGGTAGGATCCCCATTGGATTGCACGATTTGGACGAGTTGATTTGTGTGCGTGCATATGTGCACGCATCTATTTTAAACAGCCATCATCACAGAAACTAGTATTCCAATCAGATGCATAAAGATCATAATACAGTAATTGAAACATTCCCACGCACGTTCAAATGATTGTCCCATCTTCGGCAAGGCGGCCGTTTCACTGCTGCAATTTTGAGTGATGCAAAGCTACCGGTACTTATATTTCAGCGCAAGATCCCTCCCTACACACCCATCCGCATTTCAAAACACTTGGCACCCTATGTTCTGCCTGTTCTCGTAGTGATCCTCATTTGTTGTGTGTCTGTGTGCACGTGCATGCCTACTGTCACGTTCCACAAATGCAAATCCGCCACCTCAACCACCAAAAAGCATGAGTTCGACATACCTCACCGCACCACTGTGGATGTATGCATCTTCTTTTGTGTGTGCGTGTGCGTGTGCGTGTGCGTGTGCGTGTGCGTGTGCGTGCGTGTGTGAGTGTGTGTGTGTGTGTGTGTGTGTGTGTGTGTTGTCATGCTGCTACACAACTCCACAAAAAAGCATGACTGCGACTGACTGTTCCGTCGCACTTTTGCCGACTAGTCATGACGTTTTGTGTGTCTGCGTGTGCATGTGTGTGTACATGTTTTTCGGTTGCTGAGCATAACCCTACAAGAAAAGGGTGTGTCTGGGAGGGTGTGGGTGAGTGCGTTGATGGGTGGGCTATATGCCCTGTCTTGGGGGAAGGAACAAGTATCCTGGGCTGACTTCTGTAAACTTGGTATCTGAGAAATACAATCGCTTAAAAAAAATAAAAAAATAAAAAAAAGGGACAAAAGCACCAAAAGAAACGACAACAACAACAACATCACCGGCTGACTCCTGTAAAGTAGGTCTCTGAGAGATCTAATCGGTTTTAAAAATAAAAAAAAACGGCGGGCGAAAGCACCAAAAAAAAAAAACAAAAAGGATACATAAGAGGGGGGGGGGGGGGGGGGAAGAAAGGCGAACATTGCAGACTTACTGAAGGATCCGTGCATGGTGTGAAATCCTGGTACTCCCTTGTGCAAGGCTTAAAAGCTATGGGCTGATTCATAGCGAGCGTATGTGGGCGAGGGGCAACATTAGGTTCCCTGAGACCGCAGTAGAAMGAGCCGAGAAAAAAACAAATCGTGCAGGCACCACCAATGGAAATAGCAAGTGGAAGAAGCCGCTTGTTCTTCTCAGYAAGCCGCTCAAACGGCGATTGCCGCCTCATCTTCGCTCTCAATCTTAGCCCTCCTCTTGTTTGCTCAGTCCTCTAGCTGACACAGTTCTTCACGCAACTATACCATAAATGACCCCCCGGCTCTGCATCAGAATTTTCACAAAGACAACCAGAGTTTTGGATGATATTTCATGCAAATCACGAAATTCATGGAATATGAGAAATGGCACTTGGATTCTTGTACAACAAATCAAGCAATGGATAAGGTGAGGATAAACAAAAACAAGTTATAAAACTCAACAACTAAGGCCAGTGCGGCTACGCACGCACAAATAAGAAAAATAAAAATCATATCAATCAGATATACCGGGTCTAATGTATATTCTCTCTCTCTCTCTCTCTCTCTCTCTCTCTCTCTCTCTCTCTCTCTCTCTCTCTCTGTGTGTGACACACACACACACACACACACACACACACACACACACACACACACACAGAGGCTACAGCAAAAGTCAGCTTGACAGATAGCATCGGAGAAAGTGGTGCTTTCAGTCATGCAAATGTCGAAATTCAACTCACGCAACTTGTTATACTCCTCCCTCCTCTCTCCACAGTCCCATGCCACATGGCAGTGTGGCACACAATTTCTTTTCTTGACCTTGTGATTCTTGTGATCGCCCTATTCCCTCCTCCTCTCTCCTGCTGCCGTGGCGTGCGATTTCCTCTTCTTGTTCCCGTCCTTGTCATCCTCTTCCCTCACACTATTCCTCCTCCATCGTCCTCGTCTCCCCTTGTCCTCATCCCTCCTCCTCCTTATTCTCCTCGTCTCCCCTTGTCCTCCTCTCTCCTTCCTGCTCCTTCCTCCTTCGTACTTTCTCCTCCCGTCGTGTTGTCACCTGGCACACTCCTCGTCTTCCCTCATCCTCCTTCCTCCTTCCACACGTTCCTCATCGTACCTCCTTCCTCCACTCTACCCCCGTTGTGCGCCACGTGGCATATACCAGCAAACCATTTTATTTTCATCTTGTTCTGGTCCTCGTCATCCTCTTTCCTCCTCGTCTCCCCCCGTCCTCCTCCTTCCTCCTCCTTCCTCCATCCTCCTGCCCACTCCCTCCTTCAATCGCCTGCCACGTGGCACACTGACACGTGATTCTTTTTTTCTCCTTCTCATCCTCATCATCCTCTCCCCCTCATTCCGCCTCGTCTCCCCTCATCGTCCTCCCTCCTTCCCCCGACTTCCTCCTCTTTCCTCCTCCTCCTCCCTCCTCCAAGTTCCTCCTATTCCTGCTCCGCCTTCCTCCTCCGTCGGATGCCACGTGGTACACCGGCACCTGATTACGATTTTTTTGTCTTGTTCTCGAACGCGTCATTCTCCTCCCTCCGCCTCCTCTTCCTTCCTCCTCATCTATCCCCCCTCGTCCTCCTCCCTCCTACTCCTTCCTCCAACTTCCTCCTCCTCCTTCCTCCCTCCTTCCTCCTCTCTCCTCCCGTCACGTTCAACGTGCAATACCGACCGGCAATATTTTTTGACAGTTTTCAAATTCGTCCACGTTATCCTCCTCCCTCGCCATCCTCCTCTTCCTTCTTTCTCCTCGTTTCCCCCGCGTCCTCCTTCCTGCTCTCTCCTCTTGTTGCGTGCCACCTGCCACACCAGCACGCGATTTGTACTTTACTTTGTTATCGACTTTTCATTCTCCTCCTTCCTCCGCCTTCCTCCTCCTTCCTCCTCCTTCCTCCTCCTTCCTCCTCATCTCCGCCCGTCCTCCCCCTTCCTCCTTCCTCGTCCTCCAGCACCCTTCCTCCTCTCCTGTGGGGACCACTTGGCAAACCCGCGCGTGATTTTTTTTCATCTTGTACTCGTCCTCTTGTCCCTACTCCGTCCTCCTCCTCCCCCCTCCCCCTCCTTCCTCCTTCCCCTTCTCCTTTCTCCTCTTTGCTCCTCCTTCCTCCCCTCTCCTCCCGTCACGTCCCACATGGCCAACCATTACACAATTTTTTTCCTTCCATCTTGTTCTTCTTGTCCTCGTCATCCTCTTCCTCCCTCCTCCTCTTCCTTCCTCCTCATCTCCCTTCGTCCTCCTCTTCTCCTGTCACGTACCACACGGCAAACCCGCACGCGATTCTTTGTCCTCTTGTTCTCATCCTCCTCATCCTCCTCCCTCATTCCCCTTCCTTTTCGACTCTGCCCGTCCTCCTCCCTCCATTCTCCTCCTTCGTCCTCCGCCTTCCCCCTCCCTCCTCTTTCCTCCTCCTTCCTCCCCTCTCCTCCTGTGGCGTCCCAGGTGGCACAACATCGCATGGTTTCTTTACGTTCCATCTTCCCCTTATCCTCGTCACTATCTTCCCTCCTCCTCTCCCTCATTTCCCCCCGTCCTACTCCCTCCTCCTTCCTCCTCCTCCCTCCTCCCGTCGCGTGCCAGGGGCGACACCGGCACGCAATTTTTTTTCCAACTTTCTCTCATCCTCGTCCTCCTCGTCATCCTCATCGCTCCTCCTTCCTCCTCCTTCCTCCTCCTCTCTTCTCCTGTCACGTGCCACGAGGCACATCGGCACACTATTTTGTTCTTGGCCTCTTCCTCGTCGTCGTCCTCCCTCCTAGCCTCCCCCTTCCCTCCTATCCTGCTTCCTCCTTCCCCCTTCCTCCTCCTCCTAGTCCGCCTCCTTCCTCCATCCTCCCTCCTCCTACGTCCTCCTTCGCACTTCCTGTCTAGTTATAAAGAAGGTTTTGAGGAAGACGGAAACGGAGCAAGAAGGAACAACAGAAATTGTCGATCGTTCAAGCAGCGAATATGAGCAGCCGAACGCATCACATGGTTCCCGTTTCGTTTACGAAAAGAGAGACTGGCAAAGAAAAAAACTTTACCCGCCCCCACCTTGCTCTCGTCCTCGTCGTCCTCCTCCCGCTCCTTCCCCCTCCTCTATTCTCCTGTCGCGCGCCACGTGGCACATCGGAACGCTATTTTTTTGCTTGTTCTCTTCCTCGTCGTCCTCCTCCTCCCTCCTCCTTGTCTCCCCCTGCCCTCCTCCCTCTGCTTCCACATTCCTCCTTCCTCCTCCTCCGTCCTCTTTCCTCCCTTCCTCCTCCTACGTCCTTCTCCGCACTTATTGCCTAGTCGAGTTATAAAGAACGTTTTAAGAAAGACCAAAAAAAAATTGACAGCAAAGCGTGTCGATACTTCAAGTTGAAAAGGAAGCAAATGACAACAACAAAATTTGTCGTTCATTCAAGCAGCGAGTATGAGCAGTCAAACGAATAACGTGGTTTTCCGATTCGTTTGCGGAAAGGGAGACTGGCCAAAAAAACTTTATTCACCCCCSCCCCCGCCCCCGCCCCCCCCCCAGCGGCGATCCCCATTCCCTATGGAATGCAACCATCCCCCTCTCCTCTCCCAATCCGATCTTGCCTGCCTTGATCCCATCGGCCATGACCTGCCTCCATCCGATCCTCTCCCATCGGCCGTGTCCTGCTACCATCTGATCACCTAGACGGAAAATTCGACACAGTCATACATTCAGACCCTCTCTGGACATAATCCTCACACTAAGACCTTTTCTACTGAGCTCAGGAGCTCATTCATTACAGGCGGATGCATCCAAGTCAGGCCATTGATTGCACTCAGATACACTTAGTGCAAGTAAACCCTTACAGTGTTTCTCCCGCCAAAAAGACACAGCCACGAGTTGCAATGCACACACTCATCTCGCCCGTACCAACTTGCCAAAAACTTACGTACGATGATCTCCCAGCGATGGAACTCACACCAACCAACTTAAACCACTGCTACTTGTCCGCTCTCACTTCTTCTTGTGCGCATCGTGTCCGTCTGCGTGTCCCCTCATCTTCCGGAGTGACAAAATCCATCTCCTCACGATTCGCTTCGCACGCAGACCAAACCATGGAGGCCAAAAAGGAAAACCGAAAACGGGCCGATACTGGGCTATGACGCACCAGTACCAAAAAGAGCGAAAACGGGCCCATACCCGGCCGACGGACCAAAATCGACCAATCTGCCGCCCTTTTGCGGCCGCTGGTCGGCGGTGCACCAAGGCCCATCATTTTTATTTTTTATATTTTTATTATTTTTATTTTTTGAAGGCCCATCATGACACGGAGTGGCAGTTCGCGTTTTCTTTTTCTTTTACGTACGGGGTGAGATAGTCCCCCGGGCCAAGTCCCACTAGCAGCGTTGAGCTACCTCAACGCCTGAATCTGGACGTGTTTGTGCAGATGTGCAGTTCAGGAAACTCAACACCATTTCTGCACATCTGTGCAAAAGCGTCCAGATTCAGGGGTTGAGGTACCTCAACACCGCTAGTGGGACTTGGCCCCCGTTTTTTTCTTTTACAGGACCCACTAGCGTCGGGGGGCTAATGTCGTGTGACACCCTTTTGGCATTTTTTTTTTTTTTAAACGGCGAAGGCCTTGAGGTATTATCATCGGACCACCCAGCCCAAGTAAATTCAATATTGCGTCTAATCTGACATCGGGTGGCCTTTTCAGCCCAGGGTGGCCTTTATTTATTGCCTTCAGGGAACCCCCAATGGGGGGATGGACACCGGCCAGGGGACAGCCGGTAGCAGAGGGACCGAACATCATCTGAGTGGCCAGTCCCTGTGCCACCCCGATTACCCCTCCTCCCGCTATGAACATCAGCAGAGACTGCTTTTTAATGCCAATTGGGGGGACCAACGGGCTATCTCTAGGTGGCGGGCGCCAATGCCCAGGAAGGTACATGAGGCCAATGGGGATTGAACCCAAGACCTCCTGAATACCACTTGCGTGCCTTACCCACTGAGCTAGGCCGCTGGATCCCTTCTGGCATTTGCAAAATGGTTGGGAAATTTGTCTGGCGCTCCTGTATTTTCCATTAATTTGCGTCGTGCCCCTCCGACATCCGATTTACCCTGTCGCACCCCTCTGACAAGCAGTGAAATTTCCCATACAACCCTGGTGTCGTTTGGGCCTCGTATGTTTTCGTGCCCCTATCGGTACCCACATCAAATTTGCGTCATGCCCCTACCGGATAGCCGTAGGGTAAATTTCCGATATGCCCCTACTGGTACCAACCATCTTTTCAGTGTGCCCCTGTCGTCGTTGGAGGCACTCAGGGGAATTTCCAACCGGCATGGGAGCGAGCTACCGGGGCATGACAGAAATTTGTGACTGTCCCCATGTTTATGCCACGCCCTTGCTTGTGTGCAACGACACCAGGACACTCTGGCTGGGTAATTTCACGCGCCTTGTGGCCTCCCTACGATGCACATTATCTTCGTGGATACTCTCTCTCTCTCTCTCTCTCTCTCTCTCTCTCTCTCTCTCTCTCTCTCTCTCTCTCTCTCNCTCTCTCTCTCTCTCTCTCTCTCTCTCTCTCTCTCTCTCTCTCTCTCTCTCTCTCTCTCTCTCTCTCTCTCTCTCTTTGTTCCCTTCTTACCAGTGAGTGGCACGCGTGAATTTCTTGTTGTTGAACATCCCTTTCCTATTGATTCAGGGCCTCGCATCACCATGTGAAGTGCTATAGCAACATGACAGCAGCAGCATGATAGTAGGGTCGTAGCTTCATGGAATGGCAACCAGATAGTCTCCCTCTGGAAAACATTGAACACCTTGTTGTTCAAAACATTAATTTTCCTGAATGTATCTGACTGGAATCATTTGTGAAGATACAATTGAAAGATTTGTAGTACGAGTGTGATGTGGATGGCTCTAACCCGATACTTGGTAAGTTGCTTAGCTAGCTTTCTATCAATGTTTGGGATTGCATCTCACTCATTGATACAGGCCAAACATTTCATGCTTTCATACGTGCCTTGGACAGGATCCACATACAGACCCGCATGAAATTGAATCGGTGCTGCCACAGCATTGGCAGGCATGACAGTTTAATGCGTTAACTGCTGGTGTTAGAGAGATTTTGGACACCCTTTTTCATGCTACAATCTTTCCCCGACATACAACATGATTTTGCATTCCACTCGCAGTTAACGACCACCTGAAATTTCCGAATGAAAGATTTTGAAGTGGTCTGAAACCGTTGAAATGGCCTGAAGACACTTGATGTCATTTCAGAAGTTTCGGGCGGTTTGGAGGACAAGTTTTATGTTTTTTTCTTCTTTTTTTTCTGCCTGTTTTTTCAGTTACTTAAGGTTATTTCAGGAATTTCAGGAGGGGACCTGAAACCGCCGTAATGACCTGAAGTGGTTGAATTTTCTGAAAGGGGTTTCAGGTACCCCCATCCAAATGGTTGGACGGGGGTACTTGAAACCCCTTTCAGAAGCTTTAGCCACTTCAGGTCATTTCAGGAGCTTCAAGTGGGAACATGAAGCAGCTGAAAGTGACCTATAAATAGTTTCTGTTGTGAACCATCTCTCTTGCATTCGGTACATTATCGACGCAGGTTACCATGTCGGGGACTGTATGGAGTAAAAAGTGAGATTTTTTTTTGCATGACATCATGAAGCAAAATCTCTCGATCACTCAGATCGAGGTTTCTAGGTGGCCGTATGCAGTGATACAACGTGTATGAAAACAGGTAAACGTTAGTAAAAAGTTAAAAGTCTTCGGTCGCGAGGGCCGAAGGATTGGAAGAGAACAAGAAAACAGTCGTGCGGGATGCGGTGACCATGATCTAAATCAGTCAAAGGCTCAAGCGGTAAGGCAAAAATAAATTAAAACGAGTTCGGCGGTGTCGGACCGACCAGTATGGGGAAGTCGGCAGGTAACGTCGCCGTAAAATCTAAAGACAAATGAAAAATTAATATAACCCTAGCCATGCAGCCGGGCCAGCGAAGAGAAACACACTATCTACTATGATTGGGAACGACAACAAGTACCTTTGTCTTTACTCGTATGTCACTAGAAAGGTAGAGACTCCAACTCCTCCTTCCGTATGTCGAGAAGAAGCCACCTCTCGCGAACGACTCAAGCAATCGGTGCCTTCGTCCCTTTGCAGAAGGAGACACCGTTGCAAGTTCTGATATCGCCCGTGTAGGGCCGAAACTCAGAATACTTGACCTAATATCCGCTTATCTACCGCTACTGGGCCTCTAAAGATGCCAACTTTTGTCTTCCTTTGCTCAGCCTTGAGTACCCAACACATCTACGCCTACTTAGTGTGGTACAAACCTACCTGCTACTTGAGTATCGCAGACCTCTTTCCCCCCCACTTGAATGTTTTCCCCGTTGCAACCCTCGATGTCACGGTTACAGGTAAGTACCGACCCTTCGGGTCTTCCGGTGATCTAAGTACCCTTGTGGGTCACACACACACATTCAACCCGACAAGCATTCAGACAGGAGTGCGGACCAACAAGAGTGCGCACACACAAATTAGAAAAGGGTTCGGGCCACTAGGTGGACTGAGCCCCACTACTTTAGATATGACGAAACAACTTTTTCTTCACCCGAAGTTAGAGCTAGCTCAATAGGTTTTGTGGCAGACTATCAAGCCGAAGACACAGGGATCGAATCTGCCCCGACCCTTGAGCTAGTTTTTTTTTCTACTATAAGGGAGCTGCGTTTTAAACCCGACTTCAAGCGATGGGGGCTTGAACCCGTGACCTTGAGTTCGAGATTGGTTACGGTTAGGCCCCGTTGTGACAGTTGGCACAACGACGTAGTTAGTAGTTAGATTCTTTTCCGTTTTTTTCTTTTAGTTTTTTTTTGTTATTAGTTAGATTCGTTTTGTTTTTTTTTCATTTTTTTTTTTTCGTTTTTTTTTCAAGTCTCTTGGTTAGTCTTTCGTAGCTTCACTTTCGTGAATTTGCCTCCGGGTTCAAGGCAACTTCAGCGAAAGGAAATACCGACCACGAAGAGATCTCGGTCGTGCTGGATCTGCCTACATCACGAAGATCTTTCTCGCAGAGGACACTGCGAGGTCGAATAGGGAACGTGCGAGGGATGTGCCCGCATAGGTTGGATGAGCGGATGTGCAATGGGAGTAAGTAGGCACAGGGAGCTAGCACTCGCGAGTGAGGAGTAAGAGGGCACGAGCGCTAAAGAGAGGGGTACAGGCGGAGGTGGAACGCACGGAGGAAAAAAAAGTGGTCATGAGTAAAGAAGGGGAGCGCAGGACAGATGCGGACTCGTGAGTGAAGAAGGGAGGCACGCAAGGAAGAAGAAGAAGAAGAAGAAGAAGAAGAAGATGATGATAATGATGATCAAGAAGAAAAAAAAAAGGAAGGGAGAAGAGGAAAAGGGCGACGTGCCTAAGGCACAAAGAGGAAGGAGAGGTTGCACATACTAAGGGAAGGAGAATGAACACAGAGATGAACGACCGCATGCACGGTGAGAAAGGCGACTGCGGTAAGGAAGACGAGGCGAGCGTCGAGCTAAAACGATGACGAATGCGAATGCATACTTGGGCGAACAAAGATGATGAACATACTGGAGGAGAGACTCGACGAACACACGAAGGAGGGAAGGTGGTTGTGCTGAAAAAGGCATGCGAGAGGAAGAAGAAGAAGAAGAAGAAGAAGAAGAAGAAGAAGAAGAAGAAGAAAAAAAAAACAAGGAGGAGGGAGAGAGAAGATGAGCGGGCGACGCTCGGCTTCAAAAAACCCTCATCCGTGGGTTCGGGGAGAGTTGTTGCGACTTTCTTGTGGTGTTGTATTCGTCTCCGCACTCACAACGAATAGTTCCGTTCGATATGGGAGGTCGCAACTTGTGAGGAGACTCTGCGCGAGAGAAGGTTAGCAACAATCGTATTTTTCATCACCACTTCAAGACACCCTTCACCACTTCAGGATGCAGCCTGCCTAAACAGGTGGTTTTCAGGGTCTTCAGACCTTTCACCACTTCAGGACACCCTTTACCACTTTCAGGATGCAGCCTGCCTAAACAGGTGGTTTTCAGGGTCTTCGGACCTTTCACTACTTCAGGACCATTCAAGATTTTCAGACTGCCCAAAACTCTCACTTCACCA